ATCTTATTTTTGGTCAAATAACAATATCCGAGAAGTTTAATGATGCTCTTGCATTAGTGTTATAATATTCAGAATTGTTATAAAATTCAACAATGTATGAAAATGTCATCGCTAGGGATGAATGAAGCAGCTCATTGGAAAATGAAAATCAGTCCGAATCTTTGCAGGTGTTCAAAAAACTTCAGGTAATTTCATTTTGTCTCCCCTACCTCCACTCCTCAGGTACTTCTACAAGTTCCGGTGCCTGAAATATCATCAAAATTGATTTTTCTAGACAAAGGAAGTGCTTAGAGATAATTATGTAAACTTAAGTACAGCATTTGGTACAGTGCCACGTGGAAAATTATTAGCTAAAATGGGAGATTAGTACAGAAATTGAAAAGTGAATAAGAAAGTGAGTAGTAGCAAGAGAAGATCAGTACTGAGGAAAGGTAGTAGAGCTTCACGAGCATCAGTCTTGGGCCTGATATTATTTAATATTTTATATTAATGATGATCTCATAAAAATTAAGTGTGTGCTAATGGAATTTACCAGTGGCATAAGGGAGGGAGGTACTGTCACTGCAGAGACGAATAAAACTCTCATTTAGGAAGAACTGAGTGACCTTGAAGACCAGGATAGGATAAATTGGATGAAATTCAGAAGGATTTGAGTGCAAGTGCTTGTTAACCAGGTTTCTACTATATCTGCATGCTCATAGGTAAGAAAAGAACAAGGAGGGGAAAGACACAGAACATAGAAAGCAAGGTATTCTCAGCAGAATAATGAAACTCTGGTAAGGGTTTATGAGGCACATGTTAGCAATCAGGCAGGATACTGCATGCTATTCACAAATGATTCACTTCACTTTCGTGAAGCTACCGAAAAGGATGATTAGAGTGACCAGGGGGAGGGAGAGCCTTAAGCATGAGAGGAGTTTGGCAAAATGAAGGCTGAGGGAGGCCACTATAAATACCGCACGGGCATAAGCTCCAGGAAGAGAAAACATCTATTTAAACTAAAGGACAACACCGGCTCAAGAACAAGTGAGTATAAATTGGTCATGAATAAATTGAGGATGGAAATTGGAAGCAGGTTTCCAAACAACAGAATAGTGACGTTCTACAATTGCTTTCCAAGGAGAACAGTGGAAACAACAACAACAACAAAACCCAAGCTACTTTAAGACTGAGTATAATGAGTTTCTGAAAGGGATTATATGATGTGTTTGGCTAAGATAGCAGGGAAGTAGACTTGATGACCCAAGAGGTCTATGCAGGCCTATCTTTCTAAGCTTGTTTTTCATGACCAAATATTTCAGAGTATTCTTAAGTGCTTCCTTTCCTTCATGTATTTCTTAGATAAATTTTTTATAATATACTGCAGGGACTGCTAGCTGGACTGATTTAGGGAAGGCACAAAACTCTGGTGTCCAGAATATGCTGAATAGTCTCCAAACAAAACAAGAGAAGCGTCCAGCATCCTACAGAGCAAGGCTCAGGGTGCCTGAAGTGGAAGGCAATGGGGACTAAATCCAAACAGGAGCAACACCCCTTTGAGGCGTGATTCTCTGTTGCTTCTCCTAATCTCGTGAGCCTGCTGCTCTATTTTGTAGTTGGCCTTCTCAGAGAGCCACAGTGCATATGCAGCAGTATGAAATAGAGTGGCAAACAGCACTTCAGATGCATAAGACTAAATGTATAAAAACTGGAGCAGTTAGTATGAGTCTGACTGGGTGCCAACAGTGCAAAGCTGTGGTGAAGATGGCTTGTTTTGGGAGAAGGCAGGATTTCTCCAGCCTTGACAGTGTGGTGCAGAGCTGTGCTAGCAGTGTCATGGTTTCTCTCTTCTCCACCCAGGAAGCACCTGCGTCCTTTGGTTTATCTTGCATGATGCCTCAATGCTTTCTTAGTGTCCTTTGTTCCAAAATCCAGCATTTCCATTACTTCTTAAAAGCTGTGTATCACCTAGTCAATCTGTCCATAAAGGGTTTTGTATGGAAGCCTGGGCTTCAGGGTTCAGTAGCTGGAGTTTATGGGTTCCTTACCCACAAAAGCAAAATTGTGTGTTTACAGCTCTTTTACAGTAATAGAGATTGCTTCAGCAAAGGGCCGGGAGTATGCAGGCTGGCCTGGTAACGTGGCAGGTCCCTTAGTAAGAGACCGTTTCATAGTCAAACGTTTTATGATTTTCTACCTATGTTTTAGTTGAAATCTGATGACTGGGGCAGTGAGATCTGCAGAGTTGGATGATTCTGGTTGTTTTTCCTCTCCAGCTAACTACACCGACACTTTTTCTGAAATCAGCTGTTAATATTGAGAATAGTTTAAGAAATAGGAAAGTTAGATTAAATCCTCAAGAGTATAGATAGTTCAGAAAAGGAGAAGGAATAAGCACCAGCTTTATGAGGGAACAGTGTTTTTCTTCACCTTGTCACTATCCACATTAACCACATTTGCAGTAGGCAGCAGCTCTGCTTTTTTTTTTCACAAATACTTTAACAACTCGTTTGAAAAACCGAGCAGGATAGCTGAGTCCCCAGGTTCACGTAAACAGCATAATGAACACCTGCGTAACAAGATAGAAGAGTCATAAACATGGTGGTGGAAGTTTTCAGTCCCTCTTCAGCTGAGTTCTCTACTGTTTTCTCAGCCCCTCAGGAGCCAGGCAGGGAGGCAGCCGCTCACTGGGCTCTCCCTGTGGGGCAAGAGTCCGATGGTGCCTCCGAAAAGCTGCAGCTTTGCCTTCAGTGACTTTGGTGCAGTGCCCCATGGGCGAGTTACCCTGTGACTCACAGGTCAGAAACACCCATCCCTCTAAAGGAAAAGCTAAAGCTAGTTTGAAAAAAATATTTTCAAGGAGAAACTAAATTAAAGGTCAGAATTGAAAGATGTGCACTGTGAAATGATCAAGAGAAAACATTTTGATTGATTGAAACTTAAAAAGAGCAGCACTTATTTTTGGTGCTTTTTAATTTCATTTTTGTTCTTGAAATGTGTGTATCTAGAGAGCTATTTTTACGCCCATCCTTAACTTCAACCAGGACACAGCATTCTGTGAACACCTGGGCGAGATGATTTCATTCTGCCCTGTCCTGCTAGCAAACTCAATTTAAAATGAATCAATCATAAGCACGACCTGTAGTTACCGCTATATTTTAGTGAGTTATTATTCCGACAGCCAGGTGTGAGAACGTGGCTCATCAGGGGAGTGTGGCGGTCTCACACCGGGGATGAATTCAGCCCTGAGCTCGCTGCAGCCCAAAGCAGTTGGCCTGGTGGCCATGGTGGCATGGGCAGCACCGCCTTGTCACTGCCACATGGTGCCACTCAGTGCCAGGAAATATGCTCGATTTTTTCATGGGTGGAAATATCTGTGGGGTTATAAAAGCCTATTTTTCAGCTTGTTTGCAAACAGACCCATTCGCAAGCACGTGCTTATGGGAGCTTTCAAGTGGCAAATGTACTGAGGAAATGTCTGTGGCCAGAGCAGGTGAGAGAAATGGCTTCTTTAGACACGTCTCTGGATTTTGGCTGCCTGCTCACACACCACACCGAGGTGGCAGTGGCACCAAAAGTGTCAGGAAGGATGTGAGGGGCCTCCTTGCCTACACCGTGGCTGTTGGCTGACCCCAAGCAGAAATAATGAGCACCCCTGACATTAACAGCGATTAAACACCACCAAAGCCTATGAAAATAAGCCCTCATGAGGTAAATCAGCTGGGGCCCATGGTCTGTGGGTGCTGGACCAGATCCACAGAGCCAGGGCTGTGCTCAGCACTCATGGCCTGACGTGAGTGGCCTGGCAGGGTAGGGACAGCAAGGCCAGCTTGCTTCCCCTAGTTTCTCACCCCTGGACATTTTTAAAAGAGGTTAAAAAATAATTCCTGCTTCACAGAGTGTTTTTGGGGTCCTGCTTTGCCTTTCTCTGTCCCTTCTTAGGTTAAGTCTAGAATCCCTTCTTAGGTTAAATCTAGAACCCCTTCTTAGGTTGGGGTTCTAATTGACAAGCGGCTGAATATGAGCCTGCAGTGTGCCCAGGTGGCCAAGAAAGCCAACGGCATCCTGGCTTGTATTAGAAATACTGTGACTAGCAGGAGTAGGGAGGTGATTATGCCCCTGTACTCGGCACTGGTGAGGCCACACCTCGAGTATTGTCTCCAGTTCTGGGCACCTCAATACAAGAGAGATATCAAGGTGCTGGAGAGAGTGCAGAGGAGGGCAACGAAACTAGTGAAGGGCCTGGAAGACAAATCATATGAAGAGCGGCTGAAGGAGCTGGGACTGTTTAGTATGAGGAAGAGGAGGCTGAGGGGAGACCTCATCACTCTCTACAACTACTTGAAAGGAGAGACGTTGGTGCTGGTCTCTTCTCACAGGTAATTAATGACAGAACAAGAGGGAACGGCTTCAAGCTCCAACAGGGTAGGTTTAGACTGGACATTAGGAAGGAATTTTTCACAGAAAGAGTGGTTGGGCATTGGAATAGGCTGCCCAAGGAGGTGGTGGAGTCACCATCCCTGGCTGTGTTTAAGGGACATTTAGATGGGGTACTGAGGGATATGGTGTAGGGGAGGACTATGTAGAGTAGGGTAGATGGTTGGACTCGATGATCCCAAGGGTCTCTTCCAACCTGAATGATTCTATGATTCTAAGTCCAGAGGAGACAAGCGCCTGGTGGCAGCTGCTGCCACTGGTGGCCTGGCCTCCCTGTCCCAACCCAGGGGTGGCCATCAGCCCTGCTGCCATCGTGCACTTCATCATGTCATGTCTCCGCCATGGGGCCGCATGGGCAAGGGTGGGCTGTGAAATGACACCTCTGTGTGAGAGCTGCAGTGCCGCCAGGATGTTACAACCTGTCAAAAAGGAAAACAAAAAGGGGCAAAGGAAAACACCCACAAAAGAGCTGTGCTCGTTCCTCACTCTTCCCTCAGCGCTGTCTCGCCCTGTGCGGAGGCATCAGAGGTGTGAACACATCCTGTTTACATCTGCCACCGAGACGGAGATGCTGAGGGGAGCACACGGCTGAGGAGCAGCTGGAGGCAACGCCGTGCACAGGGAGAGCTGCCTGCGGTGGGAGACGGTCCCAGCATGGATGCACTGCCCATCTACCACGGAGGCATCACCCGCGAGACTGGCGAGAAGCTGCTGCTGGCAGCGGGCACCGATGGCAGCTACCTGCTGCGGGACAGTGAGACCATCCCGGGAGTCTACTGCCTCTGTGTGCTGTGAGTGTGGCTGGCCCCGTGCGGCTGCCATCGCCTCTCCGGGGAGCGGGGCAGCTGAGGGCAGCGGGGCTGGGAGTTGGGTGCCGGGAAGGGCTGCTGAGGTGGTAGTTGATTTCCAGCCTTTGTATGCACGGCATGGGGTGCTTCCACATAAGAGTGACAAAATATCTCCTTGATAGTACCTTTTGCAGACATGTGGGAGACTCCTTCACCTTGACTGAAGGCAGAAGGGTGCACAGGGGCTGCGGGGTCCTTTGCAGAGGTGCAGAGGAGCTGGTTTTGCCTTACAGAGCCCACACAAAGCGGGCAAAGAGAAAGCAGGCCTGGAGCACGTAGGAAGGATGGGTCAAGTGCCATGGAGAAAAGCCAGGCAACTTGACTGGGTATGGCATACACTGCCTCTACGTGTAGGATAATCCTCTTGCTCTCTGCCTGTTGTCTTCTGTAATGTGCTCATGGATGTGCTTAGCAACATCCTCAGTGTCCCTTGTCATTGGGAAGGATAGTGTTGATCGCTATCATCCAGAATGTGCCTTTGCTTCGAGTTGCTCTTGGTCAGGCTGTGTGTCCCACGAGCCATCAGGCTTGGAGTAAACTACCTGTAAAGTACGTGAAATACTGATGGGTAATGAACTAAGTGGTAATATTTCATCAAACCAAGCGAGAGGAGAAAGATCTGATGGGATGATCTGTCAGAGAAAGGGTAGAGAGGTTTCCTTAAGAGAGCTGGGGGACTTTGTAGTCATAGGACCTTGTTTTAATGAGGCAATTTAATTACCCTACTTTTGGCAAAAGCAGAAGTCTTGGAAGTCCTGAGAGATAACGCTGCAAAATGAAGTACCATTGCATTGAAAGAGTAAAGATGTGTCTCCCAAGGCTAAACAGACACTCGCGCCTGACTTCAGTAAAAGAGACACAACAGAAAATGTTTTTAGGGCCAGCAAAAAATTAACTAACAGAGGACACTTAGGTACCTGGCGAAAAAAATCCAGAAGAGGGAGAAGAGTCCTAAGTCAGGTTTTCCCCAAATGTCTTGAATACTTTTCCAACAATATGTCATTAAGCCCTGAGTGAGCATTAGTATTCCTCCATGGTAGACCAGTAAATGGAGGCATGCAAGAAGGTTATAGGCAATCCAGAAATGCGCAACCTTCTTTTCAGGGAAGATCTTTGTAGCAGAAGATGTATTTTTTCTTCTCTCATGAAATCAGAAGGTGAACCAAGATAGCACTACTGCTAACAAATACCTTAACAGCTAGCTGAAAAATGGGAAATAAGAAGCATCTTCCGTTAAATGAAAATGGAATAGACATAGCAAGAGGTAAGGAGTGCTATGATTCCTGTGATGGGAATAGGCAATAAAAGCAGAATCTCTTTTAAATAACCATCAGAGGAAATGGTGATATATGTCCTTAACACTCAGAAGTCATTCAGTGCAGGTGAAATACTAAGGCACTAGAGAAAGGGTCAGGCAGAATGTTACTATGCTGAATAAAATAGAGAATCCTAAAATTAGTCCACCATTAGTCTAAATCAGGATGTAGGTATGTAACAAGGTCTTTCATCTGCACACAATCAGTTGGGATTTTTTGCTATATTAGTGGTAATTTATGTCCCTCGGAAGAAATTTCATGAATGAAATAGAAGTATATGGAAGGAAAATAGGAAGAACAGAAAGGATTGTTAACTATGAAGCTCTGCAATCTTTGAATGTAAAGAAGAGAATTCAGTAAGAAACAGAATCCTACCTAATTATTTTTGGAAATAACAGGCCACTCATATCTTCATGTTATGTTGCATTCAAACATGCAAAGGCGTAAAAGCAAAAAATATTGCTGGTGAACGTTATGCAGTCTTCTTAGAGAATATAGATCCTCAATACATTTTTTATAGGGGAAATTTTCAATAGCATCTTGGATAAATCCAGATAAAAAATTAAATTAAATATGTTATGTTGAGTATGATCTGGTGTAGACAGAAAGATGGCTGAAAAATGCTAAAGCTAAGCCTTGGTTCCAATACTTTTCAATATTTCAATTCAGAGCATTATGTAAGCAATAGCAGATACAGTAGACAACATATCAAACAATAACTTTGAAGACAGTCATCATAAAGATACCAACAAATGGTCTCACACTGAAGATAGCAATGGCCCTTTAAAGAAATGTGGGCCATAAACTACAGAAGTGCTTTGATAGGCAAAAGTTTACCAAAGCAGAGCACTTTAGTAGAAAGATTGTAGGAGCAAGTTGGCAAAGCATGAGAAATATAGGCACGTATTCAGTGGAGGATGCCAAGCCTGGCTTTGGCAAAATAAACCAACAGACCCAAACTCCCCAAATTCCAGTCATTCCATTATGCACAGAGATGAAACAGGTGCCAAGCACGTATACGCATGAGAACTTTGGTGAAAACTAAGCGGGAAACATGCAGTTGCTGTATTCACTGTTTCAGAAAAAGAAAATGAAAGAAAGAATAAGCACTTCTCAGCTTTTTTTTATACTTCTAAAAAAATAATGGAAATTATTAGGAATAACAAAGTTATTCAGAAATATACATCTCGGTTCAGAATTTGTGATGATCACTCTAGGAATACCTAGATATAGCAAGATTAGGCAAAACATGTATTTACTGGAAGTACTGAAGTGATCTTTGAAACATGAGAACCAAAGCTGGTCAGCCATGAAATATATTGCAATAAGTATCAGAGTTAACAAAAAGTTTTACATCTTTCCAACGACAATTACTAACAGAAGTAAAACTGTTTCATACTGCCAATGATGTTTCTATTCCTCTTAGAAAAGAAAAAGAGAAAAATAGTCCAGTTTTGCAAAATCAGAATGTTCAGTCTGTCTTCTTTCCCCTCTCCCTGCACTTCCCAGAAAAGAAGACTTTCTTAAGTTCCCTTTTTTTTTTTTTTTTTTTTTACCCTGGGGGAAGAAGGGAGTTGTAAAAATTAAATGGCACAGTTCTGATGAAAATAAACATTTTCATCAGTTTCATCAAAAAAGTCATAAAACAAATATTTGGATGACGATACTGTCATCAGCTTTAACTCACATAGGTGCCTGCTCTGCACCTTCAGCTCCAGATACAGTAATATGTAAGTCCTGCTTAGGCTCAAAAAGCACCTCCTTTTTCCAAGAAACGGTGTAAGTTTGTAATGCTACCCCTCATCCCTTCCACTTCCCCCCAGGCACCCCCAAAAACAGTCTTTTGCCAGTCTTTGAGCCTCCTAAGGCACGTAATAAGGGCAGCAGTGTTCACGGTCAGGCTCATTCGCCTTTTGCTTTTCCAATTAAAAAGTGGAGCCCTGACCTTTAAAAAGGAGAAGAGTCAAAGTCTTCATGAATCCCTTGCGACTGACATGGATTTTACAGGGCAAGCATAAAAGAGACAGGTAGTAGCATAAAACCTGACCTACAGTGATGGGTAACTGTGGCAGACAGGCCCCTGTCGTTGGAGTGTTTGCTTAGAAAATTCTGCTTTTTCTCTTGTTTCTCCTGAAGTATTGCTTTATCTTCCTTGACCGCTGCTTTCTGCTGTCCAAAGTCATGGTGTGCACGTGGCATGCCTGCAAGCCTTCAAAGAGAGAGTATTTTTTTGGTGTGGCGGTGGCTAAGCACAAAGAACCCACTTTCATAAATATTTTAAGACCACAATTAAACTATGCACAAAAGAGTGGAAAGGTTTTGATGTGCAACAATGTCCCCTGGGGCTCATGCAAACAGAGGTGCTGCCCGCAGATGCTGGCAAAGTTTTTTAATACCAGATGATCCCAAGATCTTCATTGTATGAATACCATTATTAAATTGATAATATGTACTTTAAGGATGTTGTTCATCCTTTTTTTGCCTGTGTCAACAGAGAAGCACAAACTTTTCCTGGAAATATTTTAGGGCTGCATTGATGAACAAGAAGGTTTTTGCTGTTCCTGAAAACTGGGCTAGAAAGAATGCATATGCTTTAAAAAGTGTACACGTTTTACCTGTAAACTTCTTAGACACTACATGCAGTACGCCCAGGTTTTAGTATCAAAGCCTGATTGTTCCAGGGAGCTTTCCTTACCCGTCTGGTTTCCTCTTTGCTCAAGACCCCATTTGACGTTTTTAGAACCCTCAGAAATCCTCTGTGCTCCTAATGAAGTCAATGGGGGACTCAGGACACTATAACAGTGGCTGGTTTGAGAAGCAGCCTCTTAAACTGCGCCTGAAAAACACGTAAATAAAATGCCTGAGAGTGCCAAAAGCACTGCTTTCCTTTACAGATATATGAGCACACACACAGGAACAAGCAACTCATGCCTGAATTGGCAAAGATAGAGCATTTGTAGTTTGGGTCTTAAAATTCATATACTTGAAAATACTTGGAATGTTAGTAGTTGTTTCAGACCTTTAAGTAAGCTAAACATGACATACTTGACAAACTGTATATTTAGATTATTTGTTTGAAACCAGCCATTCATGTACTGTGCTACATTCAATTTGTGGAGAATAATCAAAAGCTGGAATGGAAAGCTGTTTAAAGCTCTTGAAACAGCAGTAATGGTAACAGGGATAGGCTGCAGTTCTATCAGATTTTACGTGTGCTATTTTTTCTGTCACCATAACCACAGTGCACAAGTTCAGGCAACGTGCCGAAACTTTCTGATGTGGCAGATGTATCAGCTCTACAGCGCTAAGGTGTAATACAGGATCACGAGCCAGCTTCAGCTTAGCATTTCTTTTGTTTCCCATGTAATATTTTTGATAGAAATGGCAGAATAATTGCATTTATTACAACACTGCACATAATAATCATCATCATTTAAAATGTAATTCGGAACAAAAGCTTCTCTCTGAGGAGGAGCCCCTCAATTCAAGGTTGCCGTTGTAAATATCATGCACTATTTTCAGCTTTGAAAGAAGCCTTCTGCAGCACACTGGTAAATTCTACTGAGGTGAGTATTTCAGCTCCCTGCTAATCGGAGTAAGCTTCGTCTTTGCTGAGAATAACTTGGC